AGACCTGAGCTGTTTCCTATTCTGAGCTGCCCAGCTCTGCCTGGGCACAGAGTACACGGGGTTGCTCAAACACCCTGCTCATGCTATTCCCAACAACTCTGCAGAGCAGCTGTGGGCCCAAGAACCACGTCTGGGCTCTTCCTGTGGCCACAGACTGAGATTTAAACTCATTTGGCCTCCGAGCTGAGTGCCAGCAAGGAGCATGCTTAGAAGCAGTGCTTCCCCTGCAGCTTTGGAGCACTCTCTTGGGACAGATTACCGCCATAAGGGACGTGGGGTTCCCCAGGACAATTCTATGTCGCATCTAAAGTGCATGAAGAGCCTTTTCCGTGCGTTCCCTGCCTTTCAGGCAGCCTGAGTTCGCACTGCCCCATGCATCAGGACTTGCACTATTTCCCCTTCCGTGCTGCCAGACCGCCACGGAGAGGGCTGACGGGGACGGCGGCTGCCTGGTCGTGCAGCCAAGGACACACAAGGATCTCCTGAAGCTCCCTGAAGGGGAGGGCATGCATGAAGGGACCACGTTTTGGCTGGGGTGTACACGCTGACACAGTCTGTGTGTGGGAAGCTGTTACAAATTAGTCTTTGTTCACACCAATCAACCATTTTTCACTATCCTTGCCAAGTCTGGAGACACTTTTTCCTTCTCTGGATTTGTTCCTGACAGGCAAGCATGTTCATTTTCCTGTAGAAGACAAATGACGATATACAATTGCCCTGAATTTAATTTCAAGCATTATTTTTCTCCTAAGCAAGGACGCTTCCTGACCTGGCCCAGTGCTGGTGATGGCAGTGCTTGGGGCAGGAGGCTGGACTTGACATCCCAGAGGTGGCATCAGGCAACACTGGGGGCTCCCTTGCGCTCTTCTTCGCTCTCTGCAGTGGACAGAAGTTCTTAATTGTTTGAACTCAACTTCAGGAAGCAGATGAAGAACATTTCGGTTGTGAGATGGGAATTTCTCATAGGGGTTTGCAGGTCGAAAGAGAAAGCGCACAGAGAAGTCTTACCACAGGCGTGTATGAGGAGCAACGGAGGAAGCTGAGCTACCTGTGAGATGTACAAAGATGATCCAGAAAGCAGAGTGGACCGTTCTGGTTCTTTATGAGTCCTTCATAACTGATTAGCAAGGCTTGTAGGTGAACACACAGATTCTTCATCAGGTATATTACAGGTACTACCTTCAGGAAAGAAAATGAGTAACGACTTTTGCATCTCTTCTTCTACACTGAGAAACCAATGGCATTCTAATTTTACTGAATTATTTTAACTCTTCCTTGGTTTCTAGAGTCCGTCAATCAAATTTTTGCATGGGCTGCTGGATTATAATCAGAAGTTTATGGAGAAGGGAGACATGGTGTTCTTCCATCCCCTGCTCATTCATGGCTCTGGAGCAAATGACATCAGATAGATGTAGATAACCACTGTCAATATTTGTTAAGCTGCTAAACACTATCAAAGTCTTCTTAACTCAGAACTGGTTACAAAATAAGTGGGTTGGTGTGACCGCCTTGGTACAGAGCAAGAATCCTTATGGACACAGAGATCTGCTCTGACCTGACGTCGCTGATCGCCGCTGTGCTTGCTGGCTGAGATCAAGGAGGTGAAGTCTTGCTTTAGGTCACCTGTGTCCACGATCCAGCATGCACGAGCTCTTTTTGACCGGTCATTCGTAATCCACGTGGCAGTGAGTGATGCCCAGTTCCCTCACGCAGAGTATAAACTGTCGCTTCGCCAGCTCAGAGCGCTACTGCGCTGATGTCAAGAACACAACCCGAGAGCACCTGCGGAAAGAAGGGATTGAATTTGGACATGCAGAACATACAGCGACTTCTGCTTCAGACCTTGTGGCAATCTTAAGTCATGACCTTGGCTTGTAACTAGCAAGCGGTTTTGGCCGTTTGCTGGTAAGGCTGCTTCTTGCTGCCTGTGTTGGAGAAGTGCCCTTGCTCTCCAGGCAGCCCCTTCACATCTCTGGAGAGCAGCAGAGGATCTCTGCAAGTTCCTCCTCCAGCTCTGCTCGTCACCGTTCCCACCTCTGAGCTGCCAAAATTGATTTCAACCACACGTCGTGGTATCTTTCCGTGCAGATCAGCCCGGCTAGGGCACACTTACGCCAGCAGCTGTTTAGGTGCCCAGAACTGAATTTGAAGAACAGGAGGGCAGAGTTTATACAGTATCCATCTGTGGTGTCTTCCCTGCGAACCACATCAATCCAATCAGCCTTTTGGCTTATTTCAAGTGTGGTTTTGTGTGTTGGGATTTGTAGCTTTTTATTTCATTTGGCGTTGTCTGTACTTTTCTATTGGACTTTGAAGCAACAATGAATAAGTTAACAGGTATTTTTATGGTATTTTTATGAATACATGGCCAAACAGATAAGCTCATGCCAGGAGTAAGCAGGAAATGCTGTATTCAAAGGTGGTGGCTTCTAAGTATTTGGGGTTTGTTTTGTTTTGGGGTTGTTTGGGGGTTTTTTGGTGGGGTTTTTTTGTGTTTGTTTGGGTTTTGTTTTTGTTTTTTAATGTGGAGGTGCTTGGAAGAAGCGAGCAAAGGTCATGCAAGCAAAAAGAATATTTAAAGTGGCTTCTGAAGACCAGGATGGAAAATGTGTGCCTGAGCGTCAGCTTCTGAGTAGCCAGATTTATGTGCTTTTTGCCCTCTGTGCAAGAAACTAACCCAAATACTGCATTACAAAATCATTTTATGCTAATACAAAATAGTTGCATTGAGGCTGAGCAGCTTCAAAGAAAACCTGACCTACAAAAGCAGATTTGCTGCCGTTATTTTAGGTAGTCAAAGAAAAAATGATGATGGGAGATGTGCTTTGCTTCTTGAATATTTTTTCTAGTCTCTTTCTTGATATACTTTTGGGCTGGTGCTCTATTAATATAAGGTTATTAATAACAGAATTATAAAAACTAGTATAGTTAGATGAAATTAATCTTATTACTATAAGATTCTATGCATGTTTACATTTTTAAGGTTTCTAACATCCTTTTTCCATGCAAAATAGACACAGTGCATCACAGTTTCATGGACGTTTCAGTATGAGCTCACATGGGAAGTCATTAGTAACGCTGACGAAGATGTGGATTTTATTTTTACTTTTGAAATAAAAATGAAATGAGAGCAAAACCATGTTTGGTGGCTGCGTGGTATTCTTTCTGTTGTTCAGAAATTCTGCCAACGGGTGTGTGGTTGAATAACCAAAGAAGGGAACCCTGGAAAGGCGGGTGTTTGGGCTGAGAAGATCACCAGGACGCTGCAGCTGAGAGTCACCCAAAACCCAAACAGCTGCCTGTGTCCTGCCTGTCCTGCGGGACGTTGGAGTGACCGGCCACAGGGGGCTCCTGCTTCTGGGCCCTCCCGGTGGAGTTTGCAGGGCTGGGGAGCCGTTCAGGGATGGCTCTGCTTTATTCCAGGGAATCCCGCTGCAGTTCAGCTCGATGCTCTGCAGCGCTGGGGTGTCATTCTGGTGTGTGGGGCTGGACACCCTCTCCTGAAGGCTTCCAGCCCAGTGGGAGTTTGGCTTTACTACCATTACTTTCTCCAAAAATCATCAGGACATGTTAATGAGTCCTGGGAGCTGGTAGGTGCTTCCTCAGCACCATATTTCAGTGCAGTTATGAGTCCTTGTGCTAACGTTGAAGTCAATCTCCTTGTTGTGAGCCAAGGGCATTTTTTTCTACTTTTACATCCTAGCAGTCACTTCATGACACTTTATTACAGCCTTTGCTCACAGACAGGGCAATGCCAAAACCATTTTGGAGACAGCTTTTGGCAAACCACCTGCCAATATCTCTTCATCTCCTCACTGCGTGACCATCCTGGTCCCAGCCCATGTCCTGGCTTCCATGTTGTTACAGTCAAATTTTCAGAAATCAGAGTATCACAGAATCATGGAATGGTTTGGGTTGGAAGGGACCTTCAAGATCACCTAGTTCCAACCCCCTGCCATGGGCAGGGACACCTTCCACCAGACCAGGTTGCTCCAAGCCCCATCCAGCCTGGCCTTGAGCACTGCCAGGGAGGGGGCAGCCACAGCTTCTCTGGGCAGCCTGTGCCAGGGCCTCACCACCCTCACAGCAAAGAACTTCTTCCAAATATCTGATCTCAATCTCACCTCCTTCAGTTTGAAACCATTTCTCAATGCATCAGTAGATGATTTACGCTGTGTCTGTGATTAAAAGGCAGCTGTCCTAAGGAATTATTATGTGCAATATGAAACAAGATGCATCTGAAGGCCTAAGGACAGCTTGGTGTGTAAGGAAAAACGGCATGCATGCTATTTGTGGAAAGGTTTTGTTTATTTTTAATAAGGCCTTCTGCTGAGTAACAGGCGTGCAGCAAGGTTTCACGCAATCGGTTTCCCCGCATGCACGTGGAGCAGACGATAGGCAGCTCCTCCATGGGGTGTGAGGCAACCTGCATTGAACTAGAAGGTGTCGAGCCCACCGCCTCCTCGCAAACGTCTGGTCACCTGCACCATCAGGCAGGGCTGTGAGTCACGCGACAGGACTTAACATGTCCACAGTTTGGTGCCTGGTCTTCCCCACGGTGCTTTGCCCCATTTTGCTGTGTGAGGGTGAGCAGGAAAGGTCAGGACCTGAGCATCAGGGCTGCGGTACAGACCTGGCCCTGGTGTTATCATTGCTGCATCCTCCTGTGGGGTGCTTGCCCTCCTGATCATAGTTCAAAGCTGTCAAGTGAGGGGAACGTATCGCTAAGGAAGATTTTGTGGGCAGATACTATTTTCTCCTCCAAGGCAGTGGGTGGCTCTCCGCTCTGCACCCATCCCAGCTCCCCTCCTGCTGGGGCTCACATGGATGCTCTCTGCAGGACACGTGCCTTCCCTCAGCATCCTCTGGCCCTGAAACGCAGGGGAAACGCCCACTCCTCAGGGGTGTTGTCAGAGACATGAGCTGGAGAGACATTGCCCACGACGTGATTTTGAGGAAGGTTTTTTTCCATCAAAGTAATGTCCTGAATTTCCTGATCTACACATCAGCTAAAATGTTGTTCATGTCATTTCCAGACCACCTTTCCTCTGATGCATGCAGTCCTCCCTTTCTCTTCCTTTTTCCTTTTCCTTCTTTCTTTCTCTTTTTCCCTCTCTTTCTCTCTTTCCTCTTGCTGTCCTATTCTTTATCACCTACCTTTTTCTTTCTCTCCCTTTCTTCCGTCCTTTCATTCATTCTCTTGTTCTTTCTTCCTTTTTCTTTCTCTTACTTTCCCTTTCTTTATCATTTTCTCTCAAGAATTGGATCTCAAAGCATTATCTTATTTTTTAAATAAAAAATAAATCATTTCCATTGTATATTTTGCCTCCGTTCTTGTTACAAGACTCACTAAACTTACACGTATCCAGAACACCAAAGCTGCATTCCTCCTGGGAGCCACAGACACCCAAATGCCCGCAGGGGCACGTGGGCTCAAAGGCAAAGCCCTGGTTCTCCACCGAAGAGGGGGTCACAGCCGTTCCCGTTGCAGCAGGTGCCCTCCTGCCCCAGCTCACCCCACATCTGCAGCCCCAGAGATCTGCAGCCCCCTTCTACCTGCGGGATCGCTGGCGAACACAAGGACTAGCAGGGGGTGACCAGACCAGCACGGTTTTCATTCCTATGGGCCAATTTGGGCTGGAAGGCAGAGGTTTTGCCAGGTCCATGTACGGCCATAGGCCTTGGCTGCATCTTTAGCCCTGATGGTTACTGTAGTTCACAAGTGGTCCCAAGTGTACTGATCCCATTGACCCCGCTTGTGATTTTGATGAAGTGTTCGGTGATGTCTGAGCTATGGCCATTTCTGTTCTTCAAGATTCAATTTCAGAAATTCTCTGGTTCACATGAGGATTTCAGGCATGAGGGAAAAATAGAAAGCAGAAATCTTCCCACCCCCAGTGTTTCTAAATACTGAAGCTAGAAAAAATAGGACCCCCGCCAAAAAAAAAAGTGAAAAATAGGATCCAAAAGCTTCAAAACCACAAGAGGGAAATGAAGAAAATTTCCATTTCATTGTAGTTTTATCCCTTATGAGTCTTTAAGCCAGTTTCATTGATGTGATGAGGTCCATTCATAATTTCCAACACTTTGTACAGCCAAAGCTGCTGCTGGCCAACTTTATTAACAAAAAGCATACGCCCTCTCACACCTAGGCGTGTGGTTTGGCTTGGGAGCTTTCCAGATACTCAACTTTGGTCTTCAGCAATTGTTTCCTTCCATTCTTAATCTCAAAAGTAAAGGAAAAAAATCAGCCTGACCTTTCCAAGAAATCTCCCTTCCAGGCTGAGAGCTGGAAGGGAGCTTTCATCCCCCAACAGGACTTGTCAAAAGCAGCAACAGCAAAAAAAAAAAAAAAAAAAGGCGTGAGAAAGCATTTATTGCTGCTGTTCCCAAGCAACTTTGAGGCTAAGAGACCCCCCCATTCCACTGCAGCTTTCTCTTAGGAGCGGAGCAGCAGTTTCAGGGACGAAAGAACACTGAGATTTTTTTGGGAGGGATTTACATAACTCACTGAATCTAACCAGAGCGGTCAAGCACTTTATCACCAGGATCTCCGTGGACCTGAATGAAACCAGACCGACAGCGTTAGGTGGGTTTAACACACAGGGTATGCAAGTCTCAATGTGTGCTAGCAAGTAACTGAGGCCTTAATTTAGGAAGGTAATTAAGACCCCGTGTAATTAGTTCCTGTGGCACACGCTGTGCCGCTGGTGTACAGGATGGGCCCAGCCACGGGCGCCCTGGGTGCTGTGATTTGCCCGTGGCGAGCTCCTGCCCAGCCCCTGACCTCTGAGCCGCCCTGTTTATCCCAGTTTGGCCAGGGAAGGGGGAACCTCTTCATTTTACACTCGTTCACGTTCAGCGTCACGGGCGCTCTCCTAACGCCAGCACAGCCACCACGTGCTGAGTGACCCGGGGTCACAGCGCGGGCGCTCACCTGGGGAGTACCCCCTGTGCGGGGAGTACCCCGCAGCCTGCACCGAGGTCGCTTATTTTCCTCTTTGCACTCGTATCCCACCCCCTGTGCCTTTCCCAGCCCCTATCTGTGCCTGAACAGCCAGCCTGGACACGTCTGTTCTCCAGACCTTAGCTGCTGTGGGGAGAAAAAGGGAGCAATTACCTTTTTCTATGCAAAATATCTCCCTCTCCTTGCTCTGGTTACTCCCCTCCTCCTTGTCTGTGCAAGCAGTGTGGGTACCTGAAACCAGAGCTGCTCCTTTCTTGGCTCTAAGTCTAGGAAGACAGAACAGAAAAACACAACATAAGCAGCTGTGCTGGAGGGGAAGCCGTGCCATGTTGCTACAGCAGCAAATCCAGCTGCCTGTGCCGAGAGCTGTCAGGCAGCCAACAAACGGCAGAAGCAAACGCCAGGGCGGGTAAAAAAGTCTAGAAGAAATCTAACAGCAAGGTGCAAATTAATAGCAAAAATAATGGTCTTAAGTAACCCAGGTCCCCAGAGACACTAGGGATTTCCCTTCCTTCTGCCAGTCATTCTAAAAGTCGGGTTTTGAGTCACAGAAGGACATGGACAAAGGTTATTTTGCCATTTTTGAACCACCGTTAAGCATATAAATAGAAGAGCACTGGTCGCTCAGGCTGGATTTTCTGGCCAGCAGTGGAGGGACCCCCAGTTGCACCTTGAGGGTCTCTCACGTGGGCACTGCAGGGCTGTTCTCAGGGCAAAATGAAATGGGATTTGCAGCAGAGCTTTGCATGGGAGATGAGAATAAAACAGGAGGAAGGCCTTGCCTGCGCTCTTGTCACACATACACTTAATTTTGCGAGGGAAAAGCCAGGCAGCGAGTGGCTTGGAAAATACAAAATGTGAAATGGCTGGGTGAGTCCAGCTTGCTGGGGGAGCTGCACGTGATGGCCCCAGACACTGTTGCACTGGTCAGCTGAAGGGCAAAATGGCAAGTCCTTTAGTAGTAGGTTTATCGTGAGAGGTTATTATGTTTTCGTTAAGTTCGATTTTACTTGAGAGTTAATAAACCTAAACTGGTAGTGCAGAGGGAAAAAACGCTAAAGATTTAATTTTTCCTCAAAGCGTTTGTAAAATCCAAGGAAAGATAATTTGTGGCAGCAGGGCAAGGTGCTCTAAATCAGCATTTCAGCAGTAGCTGAGGGCTGAGGAGAGGCAGGGTGCTTCACGTCTCTAAGCCAAGCCTGATTTCATAGGAGGTTATCATGAGAGAAGCTGGGTATCTTCCTGCCCAAGTTTGTATATACAGGGGGAACTTTGTAGCTGGAGAAACAACCTTGCAGTCAGGAGAACATTTCCTGGCTGGGGAGAGGGCTGATTTATCAGCTCACTGCTCTGCAAATCTTAATAATGGCTCTGAGAGTACACTTTCTGCATTGTATTTCCAGCGCCATTTTGCTTAATGATTTAGGGGACGTGGCAGCTTCAGCAACACCGCTGGCGTGAGTCACCAGCGATGCCAACAGCGGCAGCGGAGGTTTCTGTAGCGTTAATCTAGTTTAATGACTTACACCCACGGGTAGCGTTAGGGCAGACTCACAGCCCCGGCCCTGCGGGCTGCTCTCGCCAACACAGCCTGGCACGCAGTTGGGCTTCTTCGTGGCGAGGCTGGAGGTCTTTGCATCACGTTCCCAAGACTGGGACAGCTTCGGTGGCAGCGTAGATCCAGCTGGGCTTGTCAGGTCACACCTCAGCTGCCTCTCGTGGGGCTCTGCCTCTGCTCTTGCTCCCAAGCCCTGGTGGAAATGCGTTGGCTCGATAAGGACCAGAGCCCGCAGGCTGCTCTGGCAGGGTGCTGGGGCTGCGCGTTCCCGTGGCAGCGTGCCTCAGGGGGTAGCTCCCCTCCTGCCGGCTTCTGCTGGGCTGGAGCCATCTCTGGCACAAGAAAAGCGCCTCCAAAAATAGACTGAGGCACACAAAATCCAACACATCCGTCTCCCGCACTCCTTGTTCATGCTGGGCTTTAGGCAAAGCAACGGGCCTTGCTTTCTTCACCCTACTTTTGCGCACAAGATGAATCGCTTCATTCCTTGGCTCCCGAGGAGGCGCATACCTTTCCTGTGTAGCACAGTGCTGGGGGCATTTATGAAGATAAAGCACCACCCCATCTCTGACAGTTTGATTTCTGCAGAAATCTCCTTTCCATTGGCCAAAGGGACAGGAATTGGAAAAAGGCCGAAGCTTTCAACGTGCCGGCTGGAGGCGGATACCCATGTGGAATTCCACGCTGGTTTTGTGGACTCCAGGTGAGCAAATGCTGTTGGTCTGAATGAGCAAACCGCACGGCCGCTGGAGTTACGGACCACAAACTAACTCCTTTTGGTGATTCAGCACAGAGCTCTCGGTCAAACGAAGACATTGAGCAAGCAACTCATCTTCTTCCTCAAAGACATGACACCAGAAAAACCCAGGGAGTGTTTTATCGCGCACTGTATTTATTCTGAACGAGAATCAAGAGGAGAAATGGCCAAGCCATGTCACAGATTTACAGTCACCGACCAGTGAACCTCCACCCATCAAATCATACCGACGTGAGACAAATGGATGCAACGTGCCAAGCAAAGCTGCCCAGCGATAGCACCTGTAGGAGATGGGGGCTGCAGGATACTGAGGTAAATCTGTCCAGTTGCTTCAAATGAAGTAACTCATTTCTCTCCCAGCCGCTGTGCAAGCAAACAAAAGAGGAATTGACAAGGCCCACGGGACGGGTGGTGGCAGTTTCACCAAGTCACTGAGGTACTAGTGGTTTTAGGCACTTAAAAACACCCTGTGATCCTTCTGGGAATGAGCCAGGGGCAGCAGAAGGATCAGGTCCAGGAAAAGCTGGCCAAATGCCACAGGCATCCTTAGAGCGATGTGCTTTCAGAAAAATGCTTCTCAGGAGCCGCCCTTGGAGATCTCACCCTGCTTGGTCTGACACAGCTGCTGTCCCCCAGGCAGCTCCGCCAGCAGCCAAGGCTGACGTGGCAGTGACTGGGAAGGACTTCAGGAAAATTTAAAATGCCAGAAAAAGGGTAAAAGCTATTAAATGTAATCTCTCAGCTCTTTAAAACCACTCACAAAACGGTGCCAGACTCATTAAAATGCTTTTCCGAGTGGGAGCTGGAGGTTTGTAGCTGTAAAGGTGCTGTAGTGGGGATGGTGCTGGGAACCCGGCACGGGCTGCGTGATGGGGAAAGGGCTTTCCAAAGAGCTCCCGCCGGTCTGCGGTGTGAGCACTGCTGGTTTGCAACGCCAGCGCCACGGCGGGGGGGGTTTTAAACACATAAGGCAAGGAGTCAATTCAAGAACAGAGTCAAACAGTTCCTAAGGGTTCAAAGTGAGGCATTTTAGAGCCAATGAAGGCTGCTCCATGGCCACAGCCCTCTCGCACCCCTTTTCAGCCAACAGCTGGAAACCCTTGACAGGCTGGCACTTACGCACCGCAGTATTAACTTCACAAGTGCTCACAGAGTCTACGCTCCTCACGGTTCATGAGGATTTGTCACTTAAAATTCTGCTGAGGTCACTCTATACCAGCCATTCAACATAAATTGTGGGACCCCTCAGGATTTTTCAGCACCAGTTCTTCTCTAGCTGCCTCTTTTCTAGGTTAAATCTTGTAAACAAGCTGTTAGGAAGAAAGAACAGGCATGAATCTGTATTTCACATGCAGCCTTATTCAGTCAATTTTAAAGAGATCAAAGCTGAATATCCATGCAGTGGCCTGATGGAGACTTTGTGGATGTCCTTTTCATCAGGAATTGACTCCCCTGCTCATTCATCCCTAAAACCAGAATGCTCTTGGCATTCCAGTAAAGAAATGTGTGTTTTAGACAAATTAATCCATCCTTATGTTGTGAAAAGAGTCCACTTCAGGTCACTTAAGACTATTGAGAAATTTTGGTTGTTCCTCTCCTCTTGGTAAAAGTGTTTCTCCACCAATCTTTGGACCTTTTTTCTCCTAGAAACACAAACCATAGAGAAAAGAAGTTAAACGTGTGGTAAATGTCACCCAAACATTTATTTGACAGAAGTTGTGGTGGGGCTAAATTATCTGATTAAATATTGACAGGCACTCCAGGAGCCTTGACATTATGGATTCTTACAACGCTGGCCAAAAGCAAATTCCCCACGGTTAAATAAAACAAAGCTTCAAGAACAGAAAGCAAGAAGAGAAAGAGCACCAACACACAGCCTGCAGGGAGGTACCTGTATGTACCGGACAAAATGCAGGGCTGCTTGGTTTTGCTGGGAGCTCGTAAGGGCACCGAAGCAAAGCGTGGGACAAAAGTACCAAGAGAAGCAGCCAAGAGTGCTGAGAGGCTCAGAAACTGCTGGCTCACGCTTACCTTTAGCATCCCATCTCGCTCCCACTTGAAGAGGCCACAGGTACTGAAAAACGAAGACGGCAGGTGAGGACCACTGCGGTGTGTCTTTGTGGCACAGTACGAGGGGGTCCAAAACGAGCCCCACACCCTTCCCACACGGCTTAGCACAAGGGCTACCGTTCCCATTTGAGGACGTAGTTATGTGGGTCCCAACACGTTACTTGTGACCGAACAGCACAAAAGCCCCAGTCACTATTTCCCGCGGCTCATTTCTCACCTGCAGGGCTTTTTGGGGAGCCTGTCAAGGGAAATAGCTCGGTTGCCACATGGACATTTGAAAAATCTCTTGATGGCATCATGCCAGCGGTAGTCATGGTTGTCCTGCACGCAGGTGTCCAGAGGCTTGAAATAGGTGTAATTGCACTGTCAGGGAGGAGACAAAAAGAGCCGTGAGAGCTTTGCCAGCGCGTGAGACCTGTTCTGTGCGTTGGTGACAGCTGAACATCCAGAGGAAAGCATCTCTATCTTCAGCCCACCAGTCTGAGAGATCACCGCCCCAGGCTTTGTCTCTGCTCCTAATGTCACCCTCCCCTCTTTGCCACCATTCTGCCCTGCTCCCAGCACCTCATGGGGCTCACCGTGGCCCTCTGTGCAGCCCCAAAACAGATTAAGAAAGGCAGTGAGAGGGCAAGTCCAGCAGGGGCTGAAACTCTGGGCATGGGACATAACTCCTTCCTTCCTCTCTGCACATTTAGGATAGTAACAAAGCTCCCTTCCTCTTCCTGAGGGCAACGTCCCTGGAAATGCAGATAGAGGAATCCCACTCACCGATGTTTTCACGGCACTTTGCTTATTTTGTCATCTAATATGGGGAACTGAGCGTCTTGGTACAAAGCACTTCAGGGAAGAAACTGATAAATATTTCCGAGACATCAACACCCAAGGAGCCCACTGGCATAAACATCAAGCTGGGATGTTCAGCACAGCACTAAACCTGCCTTGCCAGTGTCTTCATGTCTCAGTCGCTCAGCACACGGCCTGCTCTCAGCAACAGGCACAAGGAATCTCCATGATCCTTGCGCTGGACTACGGCCAACAGCGACAGACGGGAGTCTGCAGGATGGGCCAGCATCATTTTGTATAACCCATGTTCCACTCCGCTGCTGTTGCCCTGGCTCACCTTCACTCACCGTTTTACATGTCACAACTCGACATTTCACTTCTTTAATGCTCTTCATCTTCTCTTCCATTTCTTCCTTTTTCACCAGCGGCTGAAAGTATTGCTCCTGCAGTTCAGCCTCAGCCTGTGGAGGCACACAGAAAGGGTTGTGGGGAGACAAAGATGAGAGAAGCCACTCCTTAAATGGCCTTAGGGCAAATTAACTACCAGGCCTGCTTGAAGCAGACTGCAGTCTGGGAGCCAGAGAAACACCAAATATCTCTTGCTTCAAAAGATCCATACAGTGCCCGTGCTGTGCTTCACCGACACTGAAACGAGCCACCTCTCAGAGGTACGAGGGGAAGGGTTTAACCACAGCCTGTGCTACTGAAATAAGCACATACTGAGGAGGGCAGTGCAGGGAGAGGTCAGGTAGGCAGATCTAATGAATGGAATTGGTTCTTAGCCAAAATATCACTCCTCAGAAAACCTGAAAACTAGGACTTGGTAGCAATACAATGTGTGCAAGGTAAGAGCCCTGTGCCACTGGAAGTGCTGTATCCCTAGGAACATGCTCAGCAAAGACCCTGACCAGAGAAACCCAACCTCTCAGCTCTTCAGGGCAACTGCAGGCATTTCGCAGGCTCCACAGCTGACTTGAGTCCCTGATGAAGGTGGCAGCTGTCTTTATGTGGCCAAGATGTTAAGAAATAAGGGACTAAATAGGCATGTGGCTCATTTGGCTTTAAGGCAGAAGGATTTCTTTGATCATCCACTAACAAGAAACTTCACTGATTCTTCCAACCACAGCAAAAAAAATCCAATGGCAACTTGATCTTACCACGACTATGGCAATAGTGCCGACTCGCAGGCACTGTGCCCTGGGTGCTCAGAGACCTCCGACCTACTCATCAGGACGATTTGGTGCCTGTGACATGTTTGGGTGCCTGCTTTTTGCTGAAATCATTACCATTATGAGGAGTCCAGTCGGCTCCCTAGTTCCGAGCCCTCAGTCTAGCCTGGATAGAGGCCATACCTCTTTCAGGATATCTGTGTGCTTGGACTTGGCATTCAGGATTTCCTGGAACTCTTCTGACTCCAGATAGGCCAGCTGCTCACGCTGTTTCTTTTGGGCAGGCTGCAGTTCATCCATATCTAGGGAGACAAAAAGGCTCAGTCCTGCAGACACCGAGTACAAAACAAGGTCATGATCTCTAATCACGATCGCTGCAGGAGATTTTGGAAGCCTCAGGTCTCTCAGGCAGATGTTCAGGTCACACAGCAGTCTTTCATAGTTCAGGAACATGAAGCCAAATTCAAATATGGCTTCAGAAAAATTTTTTTTTTTTTTAAATAACATTGCATCTTCTCTCAAAGCACTGTACTAGGAATTTCTACATTACTCGCAGGGGAGCAAGCAGTGTTGCCTCCCTGACTGACAGAGAAGCTTTAAAGGGAATTAATCCAAGATCACACAGTAAGTCACCAGCAGGCAATCTCAAGTTCCCACAGCAAATTCGGGCACCTCCCCAGGTGGGACTGTATCTTGGTTTCCGTTGGTTAAGTCAGCCATGCACTGCAGATGCTCAAGTGCCGGAAGAAAGGGAACAGAGATGAGGACAGGGAGCCATCAGAGATGACATCTCACACTCTCTCCACAGGGTTAGAGATTGTTTAGCCTTTGCAACAAACAATTCTAAATTAAACTCTAAACAGACCTAACTCGGCCTGTCTTTGGCACAGCAATTAAGTCCTTAACCCAGCAACTAGTACTCCGCTCAGCGGGACACAAGCTTATTTTTTCTCTTCTAGAAGCTAACATTACATACCATTCTCTGCTTCTGTACCTTGTGGCTGAGCAATATTTTTCTCAACTCTCTCAACGATTTCCAGGACATCATCAACATCAGCTCTTTTCCTCTTGACGCTGTTTGGGTCAGTTTTAGCAAGAATCTGGCCTTTTGCTCGTAGTCGGTGTACCGCAGCCAGCTAGAAAAGAGGGAAGAACAGCAAATGTGTTGGTGATCAGTCTGGCTCCCGTGTTCCTACTTCCAGAAGCAGCAGAGGAAGTCTGACAAATGGAGGAGACAAGATCCAGTGGCCTGAGCATGGAGCTGGCTGAAGAGAGGCCCAACAAAATTCCCAACTCTGCTGTACATATGATTCACCACGTCACCCAACCTCTCATGATTTCCCAAACCATAAAAATCACTCCTTCAGGGGTGTTACCAGGCTCGATATCTCTGCAGCTGTGCTTTAACTGCTTCACAAATCAGCAAGTTTTCCAGAGGAATCACATAACTTGAGATTTCCACATAAACTGGGAATAACTGGGAACTAATAGAAAATTGCGTACAACCACTCCTTTCCATACTCAAATATATTTCCATACTAGAATGCTAAGACTCCTCCTTCTTTGCTAGAAGAAAAATGTTTCTTTGACAAACCCATGAACAGATTCGTGCCAAGGAAAGATGCAGTCTGTTCTGTCTAGAAACAAAAATTATCCGAACTCATGGCACAACATAGCTGAACTAGTTCAGTTCACTGTTGCTTACCTGGCAAATGGAAAACACCCACCACACATTGCACTAGCAGTGCCAAGAAACAAACATGCACAGTTTAGCACTCCAGGGATTTTCAGCACAAATCCCCTGCCCCTTCCCAGCACTTAAGGGTTTTCATGCTTGTAAAACAACCAATAGCAACAGGCCTTGCTCTCCTTTCTTCTGCAAAAATCACTTCAGCACATCCCAGGACCTATCCACAACCTGATACTTAAGATGTCCCACACCCTCAAAACACAAGAGGAAGAGCAGCAGCCACTAGTGAACAGAGAAGCTCTGTCCCAGCTGCACGAAGAACAGAGGACAAGGACAGCCACACAGCTACTGCAAACTGCTCTCCAAAGGTAATTTGCCCAACAGGTGACAGACTCTGTCAGGTCATGAAGAACGGAGTCAGTTCTACCCAGAGAAGCTGCCAGCATGCATAAAGAAGTGTTTCTTCAGCAAAAAGCTTACCATCAGGTTCGTGACTTAAATGAGACGCCCTGTCTCCCCATTTCCTTTTCCCCAGTCCCATCCCAAGAGGCTGCTCTGTCCCCTGTCCACACCCAGTTGGCACTTGCTGGAATTGCCAGTTGTGCAGTGGCTTCAGCGATGCTTGCCTCCCGAGAAGGGCAAGGTCACGAGCAGCACACACAGGAGACAGATCGTAACAACTCCCTTCTGACCAGTTCAGGTGGATTTTGAACAAGCAAGAGATACCAGCTCTGGTGGCCAAACGTCACACACACGCAGGCCTTCTTCAGCAGCTGTTCCACTGCTCTGGAGGTTGACCACAGGCAAGATGGTAGCACGGACCTTGGTACTAACAGCTGTCAGGAACCACAAGTTTCTTGTATACTGTAATATAGGCCAGTCTGACCCCACAAGTCAGAAATTCCACTACCATCAGAACTGAGATGGCCTATATCTGATCGAAGACTCCTCTGCTACCACAAACCAAACCTCCCCTTCTTAATACTTAAAAGATTCAAAGAGCTGTTACCTTTTTGGCTTCTGCCAAGCTGTCTAGCTTTGGTGTTGGAGGTGGAGACCCATCAAAGAAGAGGATATCTTCTCCTTCCGAGAAGCCTGTGCCTAGCCTGGGCCTTTGAGGAGTTGACATTTTTGCAGCTTTGGGGAACTCTGCCCCAGGTATCGGGGAAGGGAGCGAGGACTGTCTGGAGGAGGACAGCAAAGCAGGGCTGCCAGCTTTACTTGTGTTCTGGAGAAACCTTGTAAGACAAGAATAATCTGTTGAAACATGGACACAAGTCAAAGAGACAGAAGGGTTTAAGAAACAGATAGGAGTGGAAGGGATGCAGACTGATTTTTCCCTAATTGGCCTTTTATTGCTAGAAAATCACGCAGCAATTCAGGCATTCAGGAGAGGAAAACAAGGAACTCACTGGGTTGCTGAAATCAAGAGTGACTTGAAGAAGTCACCAGAAGGAATGAATGACTAATTGTTTTCCAAAACAAAAAACAGAGAGAAGCCTCAAATGAAGCTGGGAGGTGGGAGTTGAAAGCACAAAAATGGGCTGCTTTGCCGAAGAGGTAGTTAAGCAGTGGGACTCCTTGTCACAGGAGCCACCTAAGCGCTCAGGTTTACATAGGTCATAGTGAAGAAGCTGGAGAAGTTCATGGGAAAAAAAAACCCCAACCTTCAGAGATACTGTGACAGACACCACCTCTAGCTTGTAAATTCCCTGAAATACATAGTGTTGTAGGTTGGAAGAGTATTTGGGGGAAATATCATCATGATTGTGCCTGGCATTATTCAGGTAATTTGGTTCCTGTTGAGCCTTTTGAGGCTACTTGGCTACATCAATCTCAGTCTCACCCAGGGTGGGTCTTCTGAGGTTCTTCTTAGGTTTGTTGGCAAAACGCTTGGCAAATCTTAAGGTTCAGAAGACCCCGGCAAGCCAGCAATGGACAGAACCAGGACTCCTGACCCCAGTTTCCTACTCTAATCAGCCTCTTCCCACCATGCCTTCCAGTTGCTGGGCACTGTGCTGGAGCATTTGGTTCTCCACTGAACACTGGGGTATTTCTATTTAAATGAAGCTTTTATTAAAACAGCAAAACACTTCCCAGTTATACTTGGGGCCACATTAACAGAACCCTTCCTGTGGAAGTCAGTATATTACCTCCTCTGAATCTCTTCAGATCGTTTTTTTCTGGCCTCCAGCAATTTCTGTTTCTGTTGCTTGAGCAGTGCTGAAGCAGAGACAGACTGGAAACTGGCCCCTTGCTTCTTTTCAGCATCTGGGGAAAAAACCAAACCAAACCAAAATAAAAAGCCACTAATGTTTGATCAGAGGGCAGTTGAGTGTTTTCAGGAATGGGTTTTCCTTCAGGCAAAAGGACAATACCTGCTCTGGTCCAGTGTTTGCAGAGGTTTCGTGCTCCAAAAGTTGGCTGTGCCAGCAGTTCCCTGAATTCCTCAGAACATTGCATCGGTCTCTTTGCTGCACCTGGAGCCAGGAAGAGAAGCAGGCCTGGCTTTAGAGATGTAGAGTAGTCTAGGTGGGAAGAAACCCCTGCAGGTCACCTGAGTGAGCACCCCCTCAAAGCAAGGCCAACTTCTAGGTTATATTTGCTTGCCCAAGGCCTTTTCCTCACAGAGCACATCATGAAGATGTTTCTACCCCTTCAGCAATTTCATCAGTCAGTCAGTTCCTCATCAGCCTTGTCGGTCTGTGGTGCTCCCACTGTTCCCATTTTTAGAATGCTTGAAAGCCCAGAAGCCACCATATCTTATCCCCGGAGAATTAAGAGCAGCTAAAAGCTAGAGACAGGACACACACCACATTGTCTGAAACTGAGGTAACTGAGGGAGCTGGAAGATGCGAATAAGAGATGTAGGTGGCATCTAGAGCACATAGTTTGTATAATCTGTCATCTGCTCTCCACTGAGCATAAAGAGGGCATAATATTAAGTGTTTTACAGAAAAAAAAAACGGAGGCAGAGAAGATCAGTGACATCCCAAAGGCTATGGAAGGAACAAGCTTTCAAGATCACAAAAGAAAAGCACTAGAAACAGGCTGGGTACTTGGGAGGTCCCCTACATTGCAGGCCAGACTCTGATTTATACTTAGTATTCCTTGGAAGCTTTCAAAATTGACAGAAGTCACTTATTTTATTCAAATAATATAAATTATTTGGTTCAAAGTTCTTAAAACTTCCAATTCCCATTAATCTGGCAAAGATCTTCTGTCACTGTCCAAAGACAGAATAGCAGACTTTATTCAGGGGCAGTGATGAAAGAGATGCATGGAGCTACACAGTTGCTTAGTTACATTTGCCTTGCAGCTGCGATCTCAGGAGGGAGGAAGAGTTTTGATCAATTGAGAAAGCAGCCTGCAAACGGCCATCTCTGTAGCAAACCAACTGCCAGACTCTTTCGGGGAGTAGCAGGGTCCTGGGACACATCTACACATCAAGCTGGAAATATCCGGAGGGTGAAGAGACTACATGGGTAATTAGGTACCAATTTTCTGCCTGGTTTCCTGGACAATTGCATCAACTCCTCTCACAACCAGATTGGAGAGAGTGGTTTGAATCTTCCTTTTTGGCACCGCAGCTGCTGCACTAGAAAGAGGAAACAAAATCAGAACATCCGTGTTTTCCCCATGCCTAGAGCAAGGACAGGAGCTCGAACGCCAGCCCAGTGCTTCAACAAAACTCCAGCCACCCTAAAGGATGCCTCTCTCTGTCTGTCTTTGGGAAGGATGGGGGATCTAAATCCAAATTCTAGCACACTGTTTAGGATCTCCCATTTCTCCTAGGGTTGAGATATGTAATTATTATGCATTGAAAGAAAACTGAACGTAGGGAATGGCTAAGCTTTGCTTACAGTTAGCTCCAGAGATGGAGAGGCGGCTGGAATTGCTTCATTACTGCGGAATCACACCAGTTATGAGAGGGCAGTGGTGAGGGAATGAAAGCAGTGTGTAAGCACAGGGGCTGATCCAGCTGTGACAGCTGTCTCCAGGGGGATTTGGATGAAGGACTTGGCCCCTCTGTGCTAGTTAGGAGACCCATACTGATCTTGGACACTTAATAATACACAGGGTGTACTACTCTCTCTTCATTAACACATACGTAACTCCATGCATTATTTCAGCCAAGGAAGAGAGGAGGAGGAAATACAGAACACACTGAGTCTGGGATTAAATGCAACGAGCCATAACAAAATATGGTAAGTGAATGGCACTGAAAAATACTCATCTCAGAGACACAAATGCTTGGGATCTCACGATAAAGATCATTTCATCTCCTGAAACACAATGCTGCCTGCCTTCACAACACAGTATGAATTCAGAGGTAGAAATACCCCTTACCACATCTTAGCACTGCCTGTTAAAATTCTCCTATCAAATAGCAGCTCTGTTGCCCCACGGGGCCAGGGGGATTACACCAAACGTGGAACATTGATTCCTCTTTGGTGAATGTAGTTAAGTCAAAGGGATCTCTAGCTAACTAGACCCCCCTAGAGATAGCTTCAGGCTCACTTGTGCCTGGGAGGGAAATTCTGTACAAAAGTAAGAGAAATAAGTGGCTTATCTTACACTGAGGCTGCATATGCTGCTGAAGAGACACCTCCATAGTAAAACCCATCCTGACACAGCCGCTCCTTCAAACTGGGATTTTTCCGACCAACTTTTTTGGGAATGCGGCCGCCAGAGAAGGTGGACTGCAGATCCGCCCGCTTCGAGCTGAGCTTCTTGTACTGGGATTGTACGTGATACTGGCAATATTCACAGTCGTTCTGAAGAGAAACGGGAGAAGGCTGTTGCAGAACACTAGCAATTACAATTTACTTCACTCCTCTCACCCACACGCACCCTTCTATGGCTACACTGCAGTAACATCTCTACGGTAGTACTCCAGCGCTTGGCCAACTCAGCCAACGTATGCTCACGCTCCAGCAATGAAAAACAAAACTAGAACTGCCCAAACTAATCACTGAAAAAAACCCCTATGTGTCAAAGAATTTTAAGGCTATTCCTTGGCTCAAGTCCACCGATGTTCTAAGTCCTCTTGCCCAGACTCTGTACTCTTGACTCCGAACTGTATGCAATTTTCTTACTGGCATGAACACAAAGGAAAACTAACATCGGAGTAAGATATTTCATGCACTCATTTCTAATTAATCCATCAGTTTTCAGTGTCAGTCTCAGGAAGTTTTGAACTGAAGGTAGTGAGTCTGCCAGTCAGAGACAGCAGTGCCATAAACACACTCACTCAGGGTGTTCTTTAACTTTTTACCAAAAAAATAACTCCATTCTCATTGATATTCATCTGCCCCAGATTTGTATAACTACAATTATCCCACAATGAAACATTTTTTGACACAAATTGCACCACGGGAGGTTTAGATTGGACATCAGGAAAAATTTCTTTACTGAAAGAGTAGTCAAACATTGGAATAGGCTGCCTGGGGAGGTGGTGGAGTCATCATCCTTGGAGGTGTTTAAAAGACGTGTAGATATGTGGCACGTCGGGACATGGTTTAGTGGGCATGGTGGTGTCAGGTCAACTGCTGGACTTGAGGACCTCAGAGCTCTATTCCAACCTAATGATTCTATGATAATTAAACAGACAGCCAATTCCTTCATGAGGTTCTTCTGCGGGAGAGCCTCCATCTCCAGTTTGTTCCAGGTGGCACTAGAACATCTCACTGACATAGACAGCCTTGTGCACAGACACCTCCTGGAGTGGGTCTGCAATCACAGCCTTGTTTTGTTACAAATACCTTCTGTATTTGTGTTCCTCCCACTCCACACACTGAGTTCCTCCCGGTTCTTCATTCCTTCATTTTCTCTCCTCCTTCTATGCGCTACCCTGCTAACTACAAACCTTCTGACTTAGACAGGGTTCCTTTCAGCTATCATAACACCACCATGGCCATGAAGTGACATAGTCCACAAGTCTTTTAAACCAGTACAAGTCAGTACTGCCCCTAAAAGAAGAATCCCAACACCTTTTTCCTGTCATCTCCAGTGCCCCACATTCAGGTATAAGTATTCTGGAAGCTTGCAGGCACGCTGCACCAGGGAATTCATCAGGTTAAAATAATCTCCGAAAAACACAATCATTCCCCAAAAAGACCTCCTATTGTTTTACCTTGGGTGAGTTCTCTAGTGCGGTGTGTGAAAGCTTGCAGCAGCACAAAGAAAAGTGAAAGGGTGTGGGGACAGTGACAGTCACGGGTCAAGACCATCTCTTTTCACTGCAGCACCAGCTTGGCATTTAGGGAACTACCGTGCTGCTGCTACAGTGCCATCACAGAAGCAGCTCCTCTGGGTTTCATTTCTCAGTTTCTCCACACACTTTAGTTAGTTACGAGACCCAGAAACAAGTCAAAGAGTCTGAGCATCAGCACAAAGTCAGCAGTCAGATTTTTACCAACAGTTTAAGGATGCCCTAACCACTGAGATACAGACCAGGTTCACAATCTGTGCACAAGGATCGCCGTTCTTCTTCCTGGCTTTGCAGGTGCCCATGTCCAGCGCTTCACCCATGAGGAGGATCTTCTGGGGATGGTCAACAGACAAACACACCTAGAAAGAAATCAGAACACACCTTGAGAAGGACTGGATGGGCTTCTCTCTGGATGTCACTGGTTTGGCTCTGGTCCAGTTTGCTACCTCTGGTATTAACAATGCAGTTCCAAAATGCAGGCCTAGTTTGAGAAAGCCCCATGTCCTGTTCAGATTGAGCAAAGGCTCAGTTAAAAAGAAAAAAAAATTAATTTCTTTCTCACAAAGAGATCAAAGATGTTGGATTTCTATGCTCAGAGCCTCAGGAAACGAAAGACCAGCAAAGGCAGATCTAGTTGTGCTATAGACGATGGTCCTTGTACACCCGCTCGGCTCTGACACCATCATGGCAACCACATTTGGCCATGGATTGGAAGGGGAGATGGACTGGAGTTCTCTGTCCTTCTCCATATGTCTAGGTCCAAACAAAATTGATGCCTGTGCAGAGTGTCATCTTCACACCACACCAAAGATACTGGGACTTGTATTTGTAGGTAAGAAACACTGTGAGAAGTAAGTTTTAATGTAGTTCTAAATGTGTACATTTAGCTATGAAGAGCCATTCTTACCAGTTAAACACAGCCCTTACATTAAAGCTAGTATGCCTTTCTACTCACTAACAGGACTTTCTACTGCTTGTTCATTTTAATTTAAGCAATTATACAACAGCTTAATAGACAATTAATGAGATTCCTAATTTTTCCATTTGGAGAATTTAAAATGCATAACGCTACATCACCAGCTACTAGACTGAAATTCCCCTTGACAGAAGTCAGTAAAAACAGTTTCCATTCCAGTGCAATTAAAAAGATATTAAAAAAAAAAAAATTATTAGCAAAATGAAGACACCTTAAATGTTTTGATACATAGAGAAAAGTAATTCCATCATGTTCTGCATTTATAAGCAATTGATTAAACAAGTGAAGTCCTGTGTATCAACTCACCATACATAGAACATCATTTATTTAATAAATCAAATATTGCTTCTTCTCAGTGGTGGTTTTGGAACAAGGAAACATTTTGCAATCACATCTCATGCTTAAATTAGGAGTGAGAAATGAGCTTCCCCACTTTTTTCAGCTTTTAGAGACCTCTTGGCTGAAACAGGCATTGCACTGAAGTAGCTGAATAAACTGAAATGAAAATACACTCCCTACATCTGTGGAAGAGCTGACTGCTACCGAGAGCAGATTGAACACTCGAATAAACTCTAGTTTTAGATGCTTAGTGGGACTTCTTGAAGTTCAGTCTTCCAGAAGGCCAGGAGCTAATACACAGCATGCAAGTAGCTGAATGCAATTCAAACTGTTTAGGCAAACTGCTGTAATTTCAGCCTTAACATGTGTTAAAAAGCTAAATCTCAAGCAGATATGAAGAAGTTCAGCTATGGGGTTTTATCTACATCTGATGGGCAAGTGAAAAATCCTCTCACCTCATCTGAGCCTTCTTTAGGTTTCATAGGATTAGCATTGAGCAGCCCGATGACTGTGCCTTGGTCTGTCTTCCAGTGCTCTTTGTGGACTTCACCGAACAAGAAGAGCGAGACACACTGATTGAGATCCCGTAGGTCGTTCAGCCGCCAGATACTGAAGGTTCTGCCCTGGAACAGACATTTGTTTTCCTTTCAGCTCTCAGCATGGGCACACTGACTGCATCCCCTCTTGCTGTTGCTTTTAAAGAGTTATTCTGATCTTTTTTTCCCCTGGGTTGCCCTGATTCAGAAAAGCACAATTTGTAACCTTAGCAGAAGGTTAGATAAAATATCTCCAGCTATGCCACACAGCCAGTTCTGGGATTCTTAAAGGCCAAAACAGCACAACGATAACTGCTATCACCAATCTTCCTGATATTAAAGCTGGACAGCACTCTTGAATAAACTCACTGAATAAAGAGGTTTTTACCCCACTGAACAAATAAAACCAAGGCATATCCAGATCTCTGTTTCATCAATGACTTTCTATAGGACACGTACAACATATAGGACAGAATGACCTCTGGGGAAATGATGAAAGCAGAACGTGGTGGCAATTTAAAACAAGAGGGCTAACTAGAAAGACTGAGCGTCACTGTTCTTTTTTCTGCACTGGCATTTAACATGTAACAGGGGATGAACAGATTTATGCCACGGCTACATTTCTTACATTAGTCTGGGGCAGTTGCAGCAGATAAGCCAAGGACGCACCCTCAGGATTAAAAGCGTCATTTCTGCATGAAATCAGACGAGCCAAGACCTTTAACACAGCAGCTTTTCATTAACTACATGGAGTCGGTTGATTAAGCTGAAGACCCAACTAGTTTCTCAGGAAAGAAGAGCAGCATTTCACTTGGACTGAGCAAGGGACACAACAAAGTTACTTACATTATTTGTGCTCTGAGGAGTGACCTTCTTCACTATGACCCCAAATGTTACCCAGTCTATTTCCTCCAGATTTTCTGCAGCAAGTTTGCTCTTCAGCTGGGACAGTCGGATGAGCTTCCGGTTAGCCATCTTCCTGTTCATTTCAGCTGAAGACACCCGGGGTTTTCTAGATCAAGAGCAAGCATGTGAAAGAGAACACACCCGTTGGCATAAATAGACAGAGACAATCAAACCCATCCAGCATTCTCCTGGGGAGACTATGTCTTGCTGCAAAATGCCTCTGTGCCTTGTTTCACCCCGAGGTCACTTGGAACAAAACCCCTCGGTTCAGGACACTGTACAAATATCAGAAAGCTACTGATCACCCTGGGTTTTGTCCAAATAGCTGCAATGCAATTAAGCCCCGAGCCTCCATTAACTCTGCTCATTTCAGGAATGGCTGAGTATGATGGTCTGAGTGCCGTTTGGAAACCCAGCATGGTTTCTGGTGAGGAAAGACACCGTGAGTATTCAGAGACCTCTTGTGGTCACACCGAGTACGGGGATCGCAAGTGGCTCCCGAGGCTTCCCGGTTTGCAGCAAAATCTGCTCAACTGGACCACAGCTGGGCTTTGCCCACGCCCACTGCTTCCCTCCTCCACCACTGAGGACATCCCAGGAAAGGCAGTGCTAACAAAACGATAGTTAGAAAAGAGCAAAGGTGAAAATAGACGCAGAAACATGGTACTAAGCCAAAAGTCAACGTCACCTATTTACTGACCAACCAGCCAATGCCGTGGCTTCACTTACATCACCTAATGACAACTGGCTAATCTGGGATGGTTAAACGATGTACATACAGCACATCAGAAACCCAGTCCTCCACCCAACACTTGCATGACTTGCATCACAGGACATTGGCCCGACAGCATTTTCTCTGCCATTACTGGAGGGTGATGTCCCCAGCCAGAGCTCAGTGCTGGGCTGCTGACCTTAATCTCAGTCCTGAGAAGGTTTCCACTGACACCGGCTGAGTTGTGGCACTGGAGCATGGAGGCACATGAGGAGTCTTCTCTCTGGTCACCTTACTGGGTGTGTTCCCTACAGCAGACTTCAGAGGCTGGAACGCCAAACTAAGGACTTGCCGTGGAGGAGGAGTCTTGTTCTCTTTAGCAGGAAAAAAAAAAGCAAGAGAAAAAGTCTGGATAATGAACAAAAACTTCTGAATAAAAATAACCCTAACTTACACCTGACCAGAGACAGGAGTCTAATTAATATAACACACTTGAGAAAAAGGTGTAAAACTGTCTTATCTGAACTGAACTGGTCTTCCAGTCAGCTGGGAACTAACTGACAGCTCCAGATCAGTCACATAGAACTCAAGCAATGAGCTCTGCCTGGTGAGCAGCTCTCCTTTTCCAAGAAAGCTAAGCTGTAGGATACACAGATGCAAACTAGGCTGCTGTCAGTGCCCAAGTTAACCATAGCAGTACAGAGCATAGCCCTCATTGCAGAGAATACAATTAACTCTGCAATAAGCTCTGTTCCACTGTGACCAGACCGCTACTGGTGCGCCAACTAGTGTAAAACTATCCTGGATGTGTCTACGTGGCTGCTGTGAACTAGACAGGCTTTCAACAAAAGCCCAGTGTGTTTCAGTGAAAGGCAGACTGAGAATGGTACCTGCTGAGGATGCTTTTGATTTCTGGATTCCTCTTTTGGCTGGGGGTAAAGGATTGCCCAGCTGGGCTGAGAAACATGGTGACTCTTGCAGCTTCTGAACATTCCTTTCCTTTAAGGGTGGACAGGGAGATTTACCTGGCCAAGGAAATCAAGAAATATGAGATCTCAGGATCTGGACTCAAACACTAAGAATGGCTCCAAAGTAAGTAATTCTCTGAATAACAAGTCCAAGGCAGGGTCTCACATGGAATCCCTTCAGTTAAGTTACCAGCATCTGAAAGGCAACAGCTGGAAAAGCCCCAATGACTCTTCCCCACGATGACCTAAAACTCCGGATGTCACTGAAACCACAAAGCTGCGGAAGGTAGGAACATCCCCTTCCTTTTCCATTTCCCCATGTAGTTTCATTACTACACCTAATGTGCTACAGCAACAAACATGGCTGTATTTTCTGGGTGAACCAACATCTGCCAGTAAGAAGGGACACTTCCAGAAGACCCTGGAGCACTTCAGTCATGAAAGGTGCCCCATGTAGAATCAACCCACGATACAGATACCAAAACTGCAGCTCACTGATTTAGTCTGTAGCTGCGGGAAACAACCTGTGTGGGAATACACCAGACCACTACTCCTCCTTGCTACTCAGTGCCCACTTGAGGATTATCTGGAGACTTGCTTATAAATTGCGTGTTGGTAGGCCAAATCAAAAATCATAAACCCTTTTAATTAGTCTCATTACCAGGGGTTTTCTTCTCAGGGCCTGAACTGGATTGCTGCCCAATAGCAGTCTTCTGCAACTGCTCCTGTAACGTCTTCATCTGTTCTTGCAATTTTCTCAGCTCAGCTAGGAAATAAAGGAGAAGAAAAAGGATAATAATGAAGACAACAGGAAGCCATTGCAAACAGGGATTTGGGAGATTCCTGGAAGTCTGGCAGTTTTACTACACCATAGGAACTTTAAAAAACAAAGACTAGAGCCACAATACAGATTTACTTGATTCTAAATAGCTCACAGTGAAGAGACACTTTTCCATACAGCCTGGAGCTGATTTCTCTCAGATAAATAATTTACTTGACCATAGTATGTTTCTTGCTATGTTGCATATATCTTTCCTACTGAACAGAAGACAATTTAAATGGCTGATGATTCAAAGAAATGCTTCCAATATCATCAAATATGTGGCCTGGACACAAGAAGCCTCAGCAGCCGGCTCTGCTTCCACACTGACCAGTATGGCAGAATCTCCTGCCGATAAGTCCTGAGGGGGAAGGAAGAGCTGTGCTGGTGAAAGATGCCAGGATGACAGCCCTGAAGACTGAAGCAACATTGCTTTTCATAGACAAGGCGTAGTATGTAGGCAACCTTCTCTGTCCTGCTCAGCAGAGCTAGTTTAGTTTCCCTGGCTTACTTCAGTCTTCTGTCTTTCTTTTGGGGAAATAGGTTTGGTGAGTTTGGCCACTGAGCACTGAAAACTGGACTTAGAAACTTTCATAAGGGCTTTCTGTATTCCCTGTCTGGGCAGCATTCTAAACTGAGAAGCAGCAGACCCTACATTCTGCCCATTATCTCTCTAGAAACAAGATACATATGATAAAACAGATAAAAGATGTTGTTACAGAAACCTTGCAGTTCTTGGTTGGTCTTCTCTTTTGCCTGACTGGGAGCTGAAGTGGGGACAGGTTCTTCTGCCTCCTCTTCTTCCAGCAGGTCATCCACATCTCCAAACAGCGCAGCCAGGTTCTCCTTCTGTTCATCAATCATGCTGTCCTCAGCATCGACCTCCTCAGTGTAGGATGTATCATCTTCTGCATCAAAGAGCTCATCATATTCATCTGGTTCTCCCCCCTCATCCTCTGGGGCATCTTCCTCCTCAGGACAATTCCCCTCCTCAGTTGCCTCGCTTTCCTCCAGGAGGGAGGCCAACAGATCCAAGTCATCATCAGCTAAGGCAAAAATTAAACCCAGCATTATTTCTTTCCAGTTAGAGGAAAGCTGCCATGGAATAAAATATCCATGATACTCTAATCACAAGCTAACGACAACCAGAAGTAAATCAGAACAGTGAGTGGCATTCTCAAAAAACTACTTCAACGATTGGTGAAAGCAAGATAAAGCAGCTCCCTGCCACCTGGCTGGCTGGAAACATGGTTGCAGACGCTCCTGGTTTATGATCCAGGCTGGCTGGTCAGCAGAAAATTTGCAGGCTACTTAGTGCTTTGCCTCCTAAGCAGCTGCCTGTACAACAGCTGCTGTTAGAAAGAAAAGCCTTGGGACCTGTGAAAGTGTAGTCAGGAGCTCTACAGAGACACCCAGGTGGCTTTTGCCAATAGAAGCTGAAGAGAAAGATGTAAGGCAGGCAAGAAAGCATATCCTCAGATACGCTTTGCTCAAGGAAGAGAACAGAAAGCAAAGAAACATGGATCAAAGGGACAAATAATGGAAAAAAGAAAATCAAGTAGAGATAGAGGAAGAGAGGAATGGTACAGACAGAGAGGAACTGAAATTCAGAACAAAACAAGTTATTTAGCCTTTGCTGCTGAAGAAAACAAAAAAAGGAAGAGGTAGAGCAGCCTCACAGAAAGGTGACAATAATGGAGGCAAGGGGCAACCTCAAAGACCTCCGCAAATGAAGTCAGTGCAATATAATTTCCTTTGTTAAAAAGTTTACCAAGTTTTCTGAACACTTGAACTTATTAACTAACATATTGGTCACAAGACAACTTCCCTGATGAAAGAGTACTTTCCCCCTTACCGTCCATGATTTCACCAGGATTTCTTCAAGAGCCCCTCGTGGAAAAATATTCTCTGTTACAGGGAGAACAACAGTGACACTGTTAAAGCAGATATGGCTCAACTAGAATACATATTGCGTTCAGGCTCCTCATTTCATGATTTGCAAAACACCAGCTTGGTTTTGTTTACAGCTGCAGAGGAGGACTCCACTAAAACCCTCACATACATTTTCTACATCTAAAGCCTGACCTATGCAGAACTCACTGCAGTGTAAAGGCACGACTTTCAGAAAAAAAGCCTATAAAAGACACAGATCTTAAGAAATTCCTACCCTGTTCTCCTAGTAATAACCATTTCCACCTCATCAGTTCTGTGTTATAGTCATAATTAGCATTTAACTAAAACAAATCTTCTGAAATGGATTCAGTCTTCATTTGAAAATGGAAGAAGGTAGCAGGGTTTCGCTCTCTCCTCACAGCACCGTTCTTACTCTTAAAAGCAGACGTTCCACATTTCTCACAGCTCCTCCATTTCACAGACCCATGTCCATGAAAAATAATCAGCACAGGCAGACTTAAATGGCCAAGGGAAGACTACATAACAGGAAGAGAAATCCACTGGAATGGGTTACTCACAAACCCAAACCCTTAACTCTGTGCTTACAGGTCTTCCTGCCGCAGAGGCTTTTGTTTTGCCCATAAACTCACTTACAATAGTTCCCTCTTTCCCCTTGCTCCAAAATATTAATTTTCAGGAAAGAACAATGCAAAATTCAAAAGTATACAGGAGCAGGCGCGACCAGTGACCACCACACAGCCCAGGGCTCCCTTTCCCCGCCGGTGACACTGGCCCAGGGATCCACCCTGCTGCCCACCAGGGTCCTGCTGGGCTCGGCCGGGCGGCCGCGGGGTCCCCCCGGGGTCTCCCGCTGCCCCTCTCCTGGCGCCCAGCCCCAGGCTCCCGAGGCCCG